ATGAATCAGTAAATTTTGTTGCTTCTTAATCCTTAGATTTTTCTAAACACATTCCTCTCAAAAGTATTGCAAGTCCTTCAAGACCAAACCTCATCTTTGCCCTGTTCTGTCTCCACAAATATCTTATCTCATTTCATATGGGGGAAAAACCCAAGGCAATATTAGGTATGAAATTTCTCAACTTTCATTCTGGCTTATACCAAACATCTGCTTCAATTGTTACTGTCTTCTGTTCTCAGAGCTTTCCTTTCTGAGGTGAATCCTCTACCTATATTCGACTTCACGTACTCCCCTGCCAGCTGTCAGAGGCTTTATTCCAAGTTTCTCCTCTCAATGTTTATTTTGCACCTCCCTCTACTCTGGCTGTTCACTCATCTCACTGTGTTTATTTTCTCCTAATAAACAAAGAAATCCTTTCAGAAACCAAGAAATCACAGAACATAATGACAACCTCACCACCACTCCCTTTGACTATTGATCTTCCTTCAGTTACCGTCTCTTGAGGAAGATCTAGTTTTGTCTTCCTCAACATGCTGGACTAGTCCTAAAAACAGCACTATTTCTCCAGCCTCTGGTGTGTTTTGAGTTAGTATTTTTTATTTTATTTTTTTTCAAGGTTGCAGTACAAAATCATTACATTTCGTTGGCCAATTACTTGACTTTTCTTTATTCTGTTCATCCTTACTTGACTCTGATCATTAACAAATCATTAACAAGTAATACTAAAAACCTACAGTCATATTTTATCAGAATCAAACAGGATTCTCATCTGCATTGAATTTTGAAATATGTAACTATTTCAAAAGCTTCTATAGTCAATATTTAACTCATACTCAAACCAGCAAAAGTTTACTATTATGGCATTATAATATTATTGAAATATAGAATGATCTGGTGTATAAATTAGCTTCTTGAAAATTCTGAGAGTATATATAGAAAACATTGTGACTTTACGAACCCAATTTCTTATTCCAATTTTGTGTCTCTGTTTAAATGTCTGCTTTAATATTCACACTCTATACAATATACCTTAGATGTACTTTTCTTATTATATTACCCCACCTTTCTTGAAAAAATGTCTTTAAACTAACAACTTCATATAGTCTAGTTCCACAAATAATTATTTTATTTTAATGTTTGAAGACTTTGGGTAAAAAGTACTGTAGAGATACTTGAGCTCAAGAAAGAAATGAATGTGACCATTTGCACAGATTTTAAATATGGAACCAAATTTAGCCATGGGATGACTATTCGCTATGTACACCATCCACAAAAGTCAACCTCTTATGCTCTTCTAGTCCCCTAAATGCAAAATGTTTTTATGATGGATATTTTCTATGAAATTTCAAATACTGGACACAGGATTTATGTTCATACAGAATAGCCCATCTTGTGCAATATGATCTGGAACCAAGTTTGGTTGGTGGAATGTATGGGCATACATTTTAATTTCATAATACTATTGACTATAGCTATTTTTTTTGTCTTAGTCGCTTTGATTCTTCTAATTAGTCTTTTCAAGAAAACATTTTCATGTTATAGCAACAGATGAACTTGCGAAGTGTAAATTGTCAAAGTTAATTACACTTGAGGAAAGCTATTCACATAAGATTGAATTTAATCATAACGCCAACATAAGTTACAAATGTAAGGGAAAAGACAAACACTCAACCTGCGTAAATGGAAGATGGGAACCTGAAGCAACATGCCCAGGTAAGCCTTACTTGCAATCTTTTCAAAGTTTTGTTCTATTTCTTCCTAACTTGTAAAAGTAATATATTTGTATTTTTCAAAATTTTAGCTATTTATTATGACAAATAAGTTTCAAGCTGGATAGTAATTTAGAAACTAACCAAACCCTGATTCTACATATTAATTGTATCATGTGCAGCAGTCAACTATAGAACAAACCACCCAGAAACTTGGTGCCTTTAAATTAAGATCTGGACAGTAGGTGTGCTCATTACTATGAGAGCACTAGTGCTTCTAATTCCTTCTATTACTTGCAAATTTCCCTATGTCTACACCTGTGACTATTATGTATGAATATATCTATCTACATATTTATCTATGTTTGTATGTATCTGTCTCTAGTTATCTATTTATCTATATCTATCTTAAAAACTCTGAGTCATCTTGACACCACCAATTTGAATTGAACAGCACATAGTTCATTGCAGTTTTCCACTTTTCGTATCTCTATTTTTCTTCTCTAAGTGTAGGACACCTTGACTCACTATCCACAATATTTTTACCAATTTCCTCAATCCTAGAATATACAGAAAGTGGTTTCACAGCAATAGAAAAACGAATCTCTTATCTACAGTTTAGCACATTTTTAGTTCTTATTTATTTGTTTATTTATTTGAGCCTTGAAAATATTTTGTTTTATTTTTTTCAGTTATTTTATTGAGGTCATAATGGTTTATAACATTGTGTGATTTCAGGTGTATGCTATTATTTATCAGTTTCTCTATAGACTGCATTGTGCACGCCACCAATAGTCTAATTTTTATCCATCACCATATATGTGTGCCCCTTTACCCCTTTCACCCACCTCCTAACCCCCTTGCCCTCTGGTAACTGCTAATCTGTTCTCTTTAACCACCTGTTTGTTTATGTTCCACATGTGAATGAAATCATGTGGTGTTGTCTTTCTCTGTCTGGCTTATCTCCCTTATCATTATACTCTCAGGTCTATCCATGTTGTTACAAATGGGACAATTTTTTCTTTTTTGTGGCTCAGTAGTATTCCACTGTGTATACATATACCACGTCATCTTTATCCATTCATCAGTTGATGGGCACGTCTTGGCTATGGTGAATAATGCTGCAATGAATATAAGGGTGCATAAATCTCTTTGAATTGTTGGTTTCAGTTGCTTTGGATAAATACCCAGTAGTGGGATAGCTGGATTGTGTGGTATTTCCATTTTTAATTTTTTGAGAAGTCTCCATACTGTTTTCCATAGTGGCTGCACGAGTTTGTGTTCCCACCAGCACTGTGTGAGGGTTCTGCTTTCTCCACATCTCCTCCAATATTTGTTATTTTTAGTCTTGGCAATTATAGCCATTCTGACAGGTGCAAGGTGACATCTCACCGCAGTTCTGATTTGCACTTCCCCAACAATTAGCAGTGCTGAACATCTTTTCAGGCACCTGCTGCCCATCTGTACATCTTCCTTGGAAAAATGTCTGCTCATATCCTCTGCCCATTTTCTGATTGGATGGTCTACTTTTTTTGTTGTTGGGTTGTATGAGTTCTTTATATATTTTGGAAATTAATCCTTTATAGGATATATGCTTTGCAAATATTTTCTCTCCGTTGGTGGGTTTTCTTTTTGTTTTGTTTGTGATTTCCTTTGCCTTGCAGAACCTCTTTACTCTGAGGTAGTCCTATTTGTTTATTTTTTTCTTTTGTTTCCTTTGGCTGAGTAGACATGGCATTTGAAAAGATGCTGCTAAGACCAATGTCAAAGAGTATACTGCCTATATTTTCTTCTAGAAGTTTTATGGTTTCAGGTCTTACATTGAAGTCTTAAATGCACTTTGAGTTAATTTTTGTGTATGGTGTAATATAATGGTCCATTTTCATTATTTTGCATGTGGCTGTTCAGTCTTCCCAACACCATTTATCAAAGAGAACTTCCTTCTCCATTGTGTGTTCCAGGCTCCTTTGTCAAAGATTAGCTGTCCAGAGATGTGTGGTTTTATTTCTGGGCTTTCAATTCTATTCCATTGATCTGTGTCTGTTTTTGTGCCAGTACCATGCTGTTTTGATTACTATAACTTTGCAGT